CTCCACTATTTTAAGATGACTTGCTTGGATAATTTAACAAACATATGTGAAAGTATGACATATATGTTGATTTTATTTGCTATTTTCTTATGATACAGATTATTCGGGTTTTTTCATTTTCGTTTTATGTAATACATTGAACGAAATTTCATCATTATTTATTGAATTGATTATTTGATTATTATTTTTGACTGCAAAGAAGAATATGTAAGTGGTAGAAATCTGAATTGTTAGGGATAATTATTTCATCTCGACAGTGTTTATGCATCTTTCGTACCGAATCTTGGCATGCTTTTATCCACAAATTAACTGCTATATTAATTATGATTGATTAGGATTTGACCGCATTTATGTCTACAATTTATTTAAAATTTGGATCATTCATTGACAAATTTTCATGGGAAAAAATCACTATTTTCCATGGAAAATAGTGGTTGTCAAACAGATAAAGTTGGAAAAAATATTATTTCCATGGAAAATAATGGCTATCAAACACCAAAATTTGGAAAATTGCAACATTTTCTAGGTTAAAATTTAAGTCAATCAAATACGTGTAATTAACATTTTCCATGTAAATAATTTCCAGGTAATTGAATTACCTGGAAAATATTTTCTTTCCGTGCAATTTTCCTACTTGCAATCAAACGCAACCTTAATTTTTAATCGTGTTTAGAGGTGTTGAAATCTTTTTCTATTAGGGTAATGTGGACAATAGACACAAGGTTCACTCGCATCTATGGAAGCAATTTCAACACATTTTGATCAAAGATTTGGTTGCAAGAGATAATCGTATACGAACATGGAATATGCTTTATGATGCGATATAAAAATGTTCAGACACAGATCGTATGTTCATTGATAACTGCATATTAACGATCAATCACAAACAACTCAACTAAAAAAATAATATCTAAACTCGAGCAACCAAGAATATAAACAATAGAGCGAGAAAATATAGTTTTATAAGTGTAAAGAGTTGCATTAAATTTAAAGTGTTACAATGGTTAGTATTTATAGTGTTACAATAGTAGTTTTGACCGTTGGATGTAGCGGATGTAGCTTCATCCGATCCACAGGGATGTCCTATTCTAGCTGTCCCATTAGTCACTTACCATAGATTTCACTTGAGTATGTGGGGGAAGAGGAGGCACCCTTTGAACTGTGTCAATGTTTAAAATTAATTAGGTTAACTAAATTTGACTTAGTTGAGCTGCAAGTTGTCACATCAATCATTTTCCAAATACTATGATCTCCCTGAAAACCGCTTTTAGTCCGAAGCCCTTAAGAGGGAGAGACTTCGAGATGGAGGACTTGGTCTACTGAGTAGGTTTCGATCTGTTGACTCAGGTAAACTTTTGACTTATCCTTTTGATTCATGTCTCCACATGATTGCCACGTACGTTGCATTAGAGCCTTGG